TCCCGTCACCCCCACGCTGACTCGAGGCCGGCTCCCCGTGTAGGGCTCAGGCCTAGGTGCTTAACCCTCCGTCCTGGGGCCCAGGCAGGCTCAGGTCGCACCGGGCTGGCTTCTGTCAGGTCCACCTGCTCCAGTAGCTACGTCGTCTCTCCTGCTGGCCCTGTGTGGTGACTGTATGTGGACTCGAGCATTTCAGTGAAGCATTAAAGAAGACTGTCACTTAAACTGCTTTTTCTACTTGAAATTGTGTGTCCCTGTCTCCATGCTCAGGGAGTTTCAGCTTTGCTCTAGTCAGTGTGCGGGGCCTGGCTTCCGCTCCTGCCCCGTCTCTGTCCTCCTGGGTGTCTTCGCAGGTTTCCCTGGACCTGAGCTCCACTCAGCACCGTGGCCCACCAGGGGCAGCAGCGGTGGCAGGCAGGGAGCTGGCAGAGGGCCACAGGCCCCTTGGGGAGGGTGTGGGGCACAGACAGTGTCACAGCGTGAGGTGTCCAGCCAGCCTGGTGGGTCTACAGGGCACCCCTCGGCCAGCTCCTCCCCGCTCCACACCGGCTTTTCCTGCTCAGGAAGCTGAGCATTTCCTACAACCCTGAAGGGGCCGGGAAGAAGGCAGCCCTGCTGCGCTCTGAGGTCTGCGGGTGGGTGTGTGCGCGTGCGCCTGTGTGTAGGGCTTCAACTTTGCCGTAGGGCACGTGTGCTTGCCCGGGAGACAGAGACAGGGAACGAGGAAGCACCCTTCTCCCTCCTCGGGGAGGTTGGGGGATGTGGACACGCACAGGTGCCCGGTTCTAACTGGTCGGCCATGTGCCTCCTGTCATCACACCTCAATGTCTCATTTGTCGGCCATGTGCCTCCTGTCATCACACCTCAATGTCTCATTTTGGCGTTAAAATCCCGTTTATCCGCACTGGGAGAGAACGCCCTCCCGGTCCTCCAAGCCCGGCAGGTTTCATTGCGTCACGGCCTGGCGAGGGCCCTGATGGAGTCAATTGGGCTGGCTTGGTGCCGTGTATTTCTGAGTCTGCTCTGTTGCTGATTAACCCTGGCGGCTCCTGGTGACCCGGCTTTATCTTTCTTTCTTTTTGGAGAGATTTTTGCTTTAGAGCACATGCGCTCGCCAGAAAGGGAGACAGACAGAAAGTGAGAAATCACCCCCCAGGGGGGATGACCACGCCGCAATCCCTTCTCCTCCATTCTCCTCTCGGGATCTTGGGCACACACACACATGTGCCTGGCGTGAGTTTAAGCCACCGGGTCTGGGACTTGAACTGCAGGAGACTACATTGGAGTGCAGCGACATAGCCGTTACGCTAACTGCTGGTCCTGCCCCAGCTTTATCGACTGCCCTGTGGAAGGACTTGGGGTGGGGCTCACATGGATGACCCTTGCAGGGGGGGAGCCAGGGCCCCCCCCCG